AAAGTTTGGTCGATGAAGATTCAACAGAGCTATCGTCTACCGATCAGAGGGACCAGACTGAACAACCCTTGGTCGAGCTATCCACTCGCTCCACTACCCCTCCAATCTAGTCGCTTGAGCTGAAATACAAGGGTCGAGCGGTGACCATGGCTGATTCGGTCTATGCGGACAAGGACTACACCCTTGGCTTCAACATGACCAAGGGTTTGTTCCTTTCTAGCAGACATGAAGAAGCATGAAGAACTTTTCGACCTGAAGGTCCTTAGGTTGGCCGCAAAGTCAATTGTTCTGGTAAGTAAGTGAATCTGTTTGTTACAAGTCATTGCTCGGTTTCGATGTATTGACTTCTGCATTGTTTCAAGCCGCGCAAAAAAACTATCTGCCCACGAGCACATGATCTCGGTGCAGTAGAGTCTACGAGAGGCCATCACTGACAACAAGGCCAAAATGACCAAGCTAGGGAAGTTGCAGGCCGCTCATGAGGTAGTGATAACCGAGAAGGACCAGCTGGTCGAGAAACTGGCTAGAGCTGAAGAGGACAAACAAAAGGCTGTCTAAGCCAAGAAAGAATGTATGTGATCCTAGTTACGCTAGCGCAGACAGAATTAAGGGGCAATTAAAAAAGGTATTTATGATCCAACAAACGGCCGAGCTAGTTTGGACTGGAATCGGGGCCCTTGCTTGATCAGACGGTAGGCACACATTCAACCGAAAACTTATTTTGATCAAGTTGGGAAAACTTTGGGCCACTAGCCCGGTGCTGTTTCATGAGATTTGTCTTTTGAGACCAAATTCGGCCGAGCAGTTGCTCGGTTGTGGCCATGGAGCTCGGTTGAGTCCACATTCGGGTTTGGCCAATGATACCAGGCGGATAGCGTGGCCCCAATAGAAAGGGGAAGTCGATGTGGCGAGTATAACCCGATTGGAAGGTCGATGCAGCGAGATAAAATCGCGAGAAGAAGATCCCCCCATCCGTTCATGTTGGTACTATTTGGCAATTTCGTCATTTGTTGCCTAGCTGTATTTGCACTAACACATGGGAAAAAGTAAGAGAAGAGCAGGTCCACGCGTCCAGTGGGGAATGGACGCATAAGCGCACGCAGAAACTATATAAAAGGAGTTGCGCCTCCATGTACAGGTCTGGGAACATCTGGTGATCAGAGCTCACCTACCACTTTGTCTCCTCTTTTTTTTTCTCTCTCTCTCTCTAAGTGTGCTAACTTAACCGTTAGAGGATTTTTCTGACAGCATACTACTGGGTAGTTCACCATCTTTGTGTTTTCAGGTCAGTCGGAGAGAAGCGCAGCTTGGACACGAGGAGTACGGATAGCGTCAGATATTTGGCTCCCGCACAGGTATCATGTTAATATCATTACTTGACAACGACTTTCAAATAATATTCAAAAAATTAGATAGATAGGTTAATTAACCATTGTTGTTGGCTTTCTATTTCAACAAATAGAATTTGGTTTGACTTGGTATTTCAACCGATAAACAAAATTAATATATATATATATATATATGTTTGAACAGATAATAAAACGTGGATAACAGATAAGGAGAAAAAATTGAACAGATAGTCAAAATTTGAACAGATAGAAAAAAAAATTGAACAGATAGTCAAAAAAATTAAATAGATGAAAAAAATAGTCAACAGATAAATTAAGGAGGTCAAATTGGAAATAAAATGTCTTCTAAAACTAACAAAAAAATTTCTCACCAAACTATTTTACAAATGATGAACCTCTCACCAACAAAAATATCTATAGACCTAATGCCTTGCACCCTCTTTAGATTGGATATATCACCAATTTTCTCATAATGACATAAAATTCCTCAAAATCACATCTGGCATCATGGCACCACTTGGTAAATTTTGACACCCACTTGACAAATAATTGGCAAAATTTTGACAAAACACTTAGCATCACTTGGTAAATTTTGGCACCCACTTGGTAAAACTTCGCACCATTTAATACACTTGGCAAGATGCTGGCAAAACTTGACACCATTTAATACATTTCGGGAAACACTTGGCAAAATCTTGGTAAAACTTGGCATCCCTTAATACATCTTGGCAAAGTTTAGAATCACTTGGTACAACTTGACATCTAAATTCTCACGTCTTACTGATGCGAGCGTGGAATAGTATTTAAATCCCCATGTCTTGTCAATGCAAGCGTGGAATAGTATTTAAATTCCTATGTCTTGCTGATGTGAATGTGAAATAGTATTTAAACCCCCATGTCTCGCCCATGCAAGCATAAAAAGGCACCACTTGGCATCTAAATCCCACGTCTTGCTGATACGAGCATAGAATAGCATTTAAACCCCCATGTCTTGCTGATGCAAGTATGTAAAAGCATTACTTAGCATCTAAATTCACACGTCTTGTCGATGCAAAGCGTGAAGTAGCATTTAAACCCCTATGTCTTGCCGATGTGAACATGGAAAGGCACCACTTGGCATATAAATTCCTACGTCTTGTCGATGCAAGCGTGAAATAGCATTTAAACCCCATATATTGCCGATGCGAGCATGGAAAGGCGCTACTTGGTATTTACAATCCCCATGTCTTGTCGATGCGAGTATAGAAAAGGTATCACTGGGTACGTAAACCCCATGACTTGCCAATGCAAGTGTGAAATGGCATCTATTAAACCCCTTGACTTGTTAATATGTCCATGACTTGTTGATATGGGTATGGAAAAGCACCACGTGATAAGAACATAACTCGTTGATACGATCATGGAACAGCATACGTGGACCCACCATTGTCTCGTCAATATGGGCATAGAATGGCGAACATTGGCATCATTAGGTATCATAATGGCATACCGAAAATTGTTCTGCCCGCTATTAAGTGACTGCTCTGTTTCGTCCGAGAAAACACATTTGGTTGGAGCACTATTTATTCGGCGAATTATTCTTCTGGTGGATACTATTCATTCATCGTTCACTATTTAGGCGGTAACTATTCTGGTAGGGTCACATCTCTAAAAAAATAGGTAGTTCAACCAATTATATAAAGCAATAAATTATAACAGTTTATGTAGGTGGTGAAACATTGACCATTTAAAGGGGTAAATTATAGCAGTTTACGTAGGTGGTGAAACACCGACCATTTAAAGTGATAAATTATCACAGTTTGTGTAGGTGGTGAAACATCGGCTATTTAAAGTGGTAAGTTACAACAATTTATGTAAAACAATAAATTACAACAGTTTATGTAGGTGGTTTGAAACCGACCATTCAAAGCGTAAAATAGTTTATCACAGTTTATATCACATTTTATTGAGTGACAGTTTGCAAAAATTTATCTTTTGGAAAAATAATAAATTTTCTAATTTTCAAACTCTCTTCTGATTACCGTCAAGGTTGTGGAATGTGTTTTGAATTCTCAGGCTAGGTTTGGCGTAACCTATATAATCCATCTTTTTATCTTTTTATCTTTTTTTCATCACATCACCTCTCTACTTTTCTGCACATCTTTTCGTAAAAAGATAAAAAGTACACTTTTTCAGGACATCCCAAACCAACCCTTAGTCTCAAGTTTAAAATTTCAACGTTAAAGCCATTTTTTGAATGGTGTATTGGTGAAAATGTAATGAAGAGAATTGAAAGAAAGGTTTGGTAAAAATATATATATATATATATATATATATGGAGGATTTTCCTATAACAAAAAAAAGTCAATTTTCTTTCTCTGTTTTCTCTCCCTCTTTTTCCTTATTTTTTCTCCTATCTGAAAACAAAAAATTTTTGTATCTGATTCTCCTCCCCAGTTCCCTCCCCCCGTCTGCATTTTTATAGAGAAGAAGAGAAAAAAAAAACAAAATAAAACAAAAAACAAAAAAGATAAAGACAAAAAAAGAATTCGGTGGAGAAGGAAATGATTTCAAAAGATTACTGTGCATCGCGTAAATTTACTATTTATTTTATAATATAATAATATATAAAAATATTATTTGTATATATATATAAATACCTAAAAAAAAACACAAGAACCTATAAAATTATAAAATAAAAAAAATAGGCTAATAAAATATATTTTAACGGGTCAAATATATAAAATTTAAATTAAAACCGATTTAAAATATTTTGGCCAAAACAAATAAATGAGTGGATTAAAACTTAAAATGTGAGATAACATATTTTTATTTTCATCATTGAATATTTAAAAATAAGTACGCAAATTTTAAAGTTAATCAAAATAGAATGTCTGCATCCACCACGTTAAATTTAAATTTAAGTTATTTTTTATTCTCAAAGATTTTTTAAATTAATTTCCATTTAGGTAGCATTATCACATCTGCCCTTCAATTCAATCTGATTTTTGACAATTAATGATTAACTGACTTTTTCTGCATGACAGCTGTAACCACAGATATTTTTTTTCTGCAAGACAGAAAAAGGAATTCGGTGGAGAAGGAAATGATTTCAAAAGATTACTGTGCATCGCGTAAATTTACTATTTATTTTATAATATAATAATATATAAAAATATTATTTGTATATATATATATAAATACCTAAAAAAAACACAAGAACCTATAAAATTATAAAATAAAATGAAATAGATTAATAAAATATATTTTAACAGATCAAATATATAAAATTTAAGTTAAAACCAATTTAAAATATTTTGGCCAAAACAGATAAATGAGTGGATTAAAGCTTAAAATGTGAGATAATATATCCTTATTTTCATCATCAAGTATTTAAAATAAAGTATACAAATTTTAAAATTAATCAAAATAGAGTGCCTACATACACCACGCCAAATTTAAATTTAAGTCTTTTTTTATTCACAAGTGCTTTTTAAAATAATATACAACAATTTTATATATCACTAAATTTCTACCACTAATACCATCATTAATGATGTGATAAATAAAATAAAAAAAAAACAAAAATTAAGACACAAAACACATGTCTAATGTAGTGGTTTCCATCATTTTTCATCAATATATAAATACTTAATGTTTTGCTGCTGAAAAATCTACTTCTATTCTTCTTGACCAAGTCTGGTCAAGTTCTTGTTGTTTTGTTCAATTCTAATACTGAAACAACAACTAAGTTACATAGGCCTACACAAGAGGCTGCCATCTGGTATTAGATTGTTGGTTTGTAGAAGCAATATCAGGTGCAAGGTGAAGAAAGAAAATCCTTAAAACTCCATGGCGGCCACAATTCCAATTTTTGATGGTGACAACTACCAGTTTTGGAAAGTGAAGATGACAACTCTATTTCAATCTATGGATTTGTGGGATATGGTAGAGAGGGGGTACCAGGATGAGAATAACGGGGAGAACCGAAAGAAGAATGCTGAAGCGCTTTCTCTAATCCAGCGATGCGTCTCAGACTCGATCTTTAAAACAATCATGAATGCTAGAAGAGCGAAAGACGCTTGGGACTTTCTTCAAGAGATATTTCAAACAGAGGAAAGGGTAATTTGAGTAGTCAAACTTCAAACACTAGCGTTTTCCATTTTTTTACGTTTATAATTTAGTTTTTGTTTTTGTTCTTGCAGCCAATTCTATCTATTAGCTTCTTACTACCACTCGCAAAAGCCTTATTAGTACCCGCGAACATCTCAAAATCGAAGGAAACCAATTTGATAGTGGCTACACTGATAGCAACGGTGACCTTCGCAGCAGGTATCACCATGCCTGGTGGCTACGTTAATGATAACAAAGACCCGAACCAAGGAATGGCAATTCTAACAAGAAAAGCAGCTTTCAAAGCTTTTGTGATAACAGATACCATTGCCCTGACATTATCCAGTTTTGCAGTGCTTACCCACCTCGATACTTCTGTGATTGACAACCCGATTTTACTAAAGCAGCAACTTACTTTAGCTTTTCTTTGTACTGCTTATGCTATGCTTGCAATGTTGGTGGCATTCATTACAGGGACATATGCTGTGTTAGCATCTTCAAGCCTTTCTATTTTTGTTTGCGTAATCCCTTCCATTCTGTTGTTCATGTACCTGTTTTACAGGAAGATATTTTTCCCTCTACTGATGTACGAAGACATCCAACGGCACTCTAGCTCTCTCCCACGCGTGCAAAATCAATAGTTTATGATTTGGGATTTGCCGATTTGAGCTCTCATGCGTGCACCAAATCTGTATCAGTTTCAGTAATTACGTAAATAAAATCTATGCTTATTGTTCCATTGGCTTGCAAGTAAAATAAAGATACCAAAAGTCCCCGACTAAAATTAAAAATAATAATTATAATAATAATTGTAAAACTCTACTAGATATATTACAGGCTCGTGATGCTATTTAATAAAGTTCTCACTGACACTTTGTGATCAAAGAGAATTTTGTACACAATAACTTGACTATTTTAGTTAGTTATTTAGTTTTTGGTTATTTTAATTTTGACTAAAATAGCTATGTTTAGAAAGCTAGTTGGCTTGTTTTGTAGTTGATTTGATAATTTTGAAAAATAAAAGTAAAATAATTATGAATTATAGGTATCATTTTATCTTATTAATTATTTTAACTTATTTTTTTTAGTAAATTATTTTTATCCATCCCTCTTTCTAAAAATGTAATGATGAACCTAATCAGTTTTTGTAAATGCAATGGGTAATAAAAGAGGTCAAAAATCAACAACTTTTATCATCACAAAGAAGATTCACAAAATCATCTACTGGTGGAAATTATGTAGCAACAGCCTAACTTTAATCATAATAGCTCATAGCTTCCACCAATTTAATTAGGTCACAATTAAAACACAATTGATTTTGATTATATATTGACATGTTAAATGGGGCTGATAATTCATGTCTTTTTTTATGAGGTGACACATTATCAATCACATAGTTGATGCATGCCGTGCTATACAGTCTATTTATAGGATGTGTCCCCTTAAAAGACCCATTATAAAATTATCCTTGTGGGTGCAACATATTTCTTTCTCTTTCCCCCTCCTTTCACCCAAAAAAGAAAAATAATAAGGGTAAATTATATTGGCAGTATTTGTATTTTGACTTTTATGTTGTTTTGATTCATGTAATTTTAACTAATCCTATTTTAATGTTAATTTTAGATTTTGTATCAATTTAGTACAATTGATAACTTTGATTAGGGTTTTTGGAAAAAATTATCACTGAATTGATTGAGATTAACTCACTAAGTTAAACAAATTTACAATTTTTCTTATAAAAGCATAACATGTCACTTATGTGCACATTTTCATCAAAAGTACAACTCATTGTAATTAATTAGATCAAATTGAGATAAAATCATAAATTAAGAACCAAAATTGAGTTAATTAAAATTAGAGGAATTAAAATGACACAAAGTCAAAAATATAGAGACTACCGGTATAATTTATCTAACAAAACAAATTTAACAGAAGATGAGGATTGTCATTCTCAAAATATACTAGCTACATATATTAGGCCCTTGATATTATTTATGTAATCAAATTCTCACTCAAACTTTGAAATCAAATACAATTTTAAGCACTACACATAATGATTAGTTTCTAAAATTAATGTAAGAACATAAGGCGGCCAAAAATCAACAATTAACCATGCTATGTATCTTTGATTTGATGTTATGGCTAACAAGTTTAAAGATCAAGAAACCATTCTCAACTTTCTAGAAAAGTTGTGGTTTTTCTTGAGGAGTGTCAAACTATAGAGGAGTTGCAAGAAAGCTAAACCTGACGAGAATGGAGGCTGGAGGTTGGAATCCAGTGCTGAGAAGAAGACGAGTGGGCAAGCAAGGCAGTAGATCAGTGGAAAATGGATTGTTTATGATCTTTGTGGATGAGATTCCAAACTTAATGAATCCAGAGAGTCTGTTTACTTTGTTTGATAAGTTTGGAGTAGTTACGGATGCTTTCATCCTAGCAAAAAGAAGAAAACCAACGGGATTAAGGTTTGGTTTCGTGAGATATGATTGCAAGGTTGCTGCTAAAATGGCAGTGCTGAAGGCTAATGGCCTGTGGTGTGACAACAAGGCACTGAAAGTGAAGAAAACAGAGTTCAAAAAAGAGGAGAAAAGAGAAGAAAAATAAAAAATTTAGTTAGGGAGAGGAAGATTGATGTCCTTCTGCTGCAGGAGACTAAGAGAAGCAAAGTAGATGATATTTTTGCTAAGTCATTATGGCCATGGAAGGAGTTTGAGTGCATGGAGGTGGCTGCAAAAGGAAGTGCTGGTGGTATGTTATGCTCGTGGAATCCACAAATTTTTGAGCTAAAGGAGTGTTGCAATAACATAAACTTCATACTATTATCTGGTATAGTATATCATTCTTTTAGTTGTGTTATCATAAATGTATATGCACCCAATGATGTGTTGAAAAGAAGACAATTATGGGAGTCCTTAGCGAAGTTTAAACCATTTTTTTCAAGTCCTTGGTGTATAGGTGGAGACTTTAATGAAATAAGATTCATGAGTGAAAGAAAAGGATGTTCTAGAAGGGAAAGAGGGATGAAGGACTTTAATGAATTGATTGAAAAGCTGGAGCTGATAGATATGCCAATGTTAGACAAAAATTTCACTTGGTGCAATACAATGGATGGAGCTATATGGAGTAGGATTGATAGATTCCTAATCGATCCTAGGTGGGTGGAAGGATTCAAGTTTAAACAGTAGGAGCTGCCTAGAAGCGTTTCTGATCACTGCCCAATACTCTTTATGGAAGATGGAAGGGATTGGGGCCCAAAACCATTTAGATTCATCAATGCATGGTGTTTGCATCCTAAATTCAAAGCAGAAGTAAAGAAATGTTGGGAAGGATCACAAGTTAGTGGTTGGGCCAGTTATAGGTTATTGAAAAAGCTAGGAAATCTTAGAGCACATTTGAGAATGTGGAACTGTGAAGTGTTTGGTAACATTGATGAGCTGTTGAAAAAGAGCAGAGGATGAACTTCATGAATGGGATTTAAAAGACGAAGAAAGGATTCTTCAGGATTCTGAGATTAAAAGAAGGGCAGAAGTTAGAAGCTTAGCTTAGGATCTGAGCAAGAAGAAGGAATGGTTGTGGCATCAAAAATCTAGAATGTATGGGCTGAAAATGGGGATAAAAATACCAATTTTTTTCATATAATGTCAAGTAAAAGATACAGGAAAAACTTGTTGAACTTAGTTAATGAGAATGGAGTACTTCATGATCAGCCTGGGATGATTAAACAGGTAGTGGTAAATCATTTTGGTTAGTTGTTTACTAAAGAGTGGAGGTGTAGACCAAAATTGTCAGGTGTTTTTGCCTTAAGTAGTCAAACAGATTCAACTGAATTGTTGGAGGCAATTTTTTTAAAGGATGAAATATGGGAAGCAATTAAAGATTGTGAAGGTAACAAAGCTCTGAGGCTAGATGGTTTTAATCTAAAATGTATTCAAAAATGCTGGGACATCATGAAAGGAGGGATTGTGCAGATGATGAATGAGTTCCACTCTAATGGTAAGTTGGCCAAATGAGTGAATAGTTCATTTATTACCTTAATTCCCAAGAAGAAAAATCTTTTGGGGTTGAGTAACTATAGGCCAATCAGTTTGGTTAGCTCAATGTACAAAATAATAGCTAAATTGTTATCAAGAAAGTTGAGGCAGGTTTTACCCAAGATCATTAGTGAAGTACAAACAACGTTTCTAAGTGGAAAATATATTCTAGATAGGGTACTAATTGCCAATGAAGTGGTGGATTGGTGAAGAAGGTCAAAAGAGAAAGGAATCATCCTAAAGTTGGACTTTGAAAAGGCATATGACTCAGTAAATTGAGAGTTCTTGTATTCAATGATGACCAATTTTGGTTTTAGTGAGAAATGGCTGGGGTGGATGAAGACTTGTATATCTACAGCTAGAATATCAGTGCTAGTAAATGGATCACCTACATCAGAGTTTTCCCTCGTAAAAGGCCTCAGGCAAGATAACCCATTTTCACCTTTCCTCTTTAACATTGTAGCAGAGGGCCTTAATATTCTTATGGAAAGAGGAAAAGAAGAGGGCCTAATTAGAGGAGTAACAGTAGGGCCAAATGAGTTGAAACTATCACACTTGCAGTTTGCTGATGATACTATTATATTTTGTGAAGCAGATTGGGAGGAAATTGTTGACGTGAAAAGAATATTAAGATGCATTGAGTTGATGACAGGACTCAAAATAAATTTTCATAAAAGTAAAGTGTGTGGGGTAGGTGTTCAGGATGATCTAGTGATGGTTTTTGCAAAAAAAAATTAATTGCCTCAGTCAAAAGTTGCCAATGAACTATCTAGGGCTCCCATTAGGATCAAATCCAAGGAGAAAGAGTACATGGAAACCTGTGGTGGATAAGTTCAAGAGCAAGTTAGCTTCATGGAATAGAAGGTATTTGTCTTTTGCAGGAAGATTAACTCTGATAAAGTTTATTTTGACAAGCTTGCCAGTATATTTCTTATCCATCTTGAAGCTGCCAGTGGCTATTGCAAAATCATTAGACAGAATTCAAGCTAATTTTCTTTGGGGAACATTTGAAATCAGGAAAAAAGTGCACTTAGTTATTGGAAGGAGGTTTGTCTAAGCAAAAATCAAGGTGGGCTAGGTGTGAGAAATCTAAGTTAGGTTAATGAGTGCTTATTAATTAAGTGGTGGTGGAGGTATGGCAAAGAAGAGTCATCTTTGTGGAAACAAGTGGTTTGTAGTAAGTATGAAGGTTTGGGTGGTAGATGGAGACCATTATTAATAGATTCAGTGTTGATGTCTAATCTGTGGCAGGGCAAACTATCAGTGGCTTTAGCAAATCCTGCTTTGCAAGATTTCTTTTTGCAAAATTTCAAGTTAGTTGTTGGAAATGGTAGAAGATTGCAGTTCTAGGTTGATAGGTCGTTTAACAATCAAAGTCTGAGTGTGGTATTCCCCAGATTATTCACTTTGTTAGTTGAACAAGATGGCAATTTGTTTGATTTTTTTCCATAGAAGATGAGTGGATAAAGATTGGAAACTTGCCTTTAGAATGCCTCTTTTTGCTTGGGAAGATAAGGAAGTGTTGAATCTTAATGACCAGTTGCAGAATGCAGCTAGGCTAAATGAAGGGGTTGAAGACTCTTGCTCTTGGCTAGCTCATTCCCCTGGAGCTTTTACTGTGGCATCAATCTGGAAGTGGGTGGAAGCATGTAAAATGCCAGCTATGACAGTCACTAAAGTATTTGGAATAATTTAGCCCTTCCCAAGAT